GGATGTTGTGGTTAAAATAGTCTGACCGTTTTGAAAGGGGCCTCTGACCTGCTGCATTCTCGACTTGGGTCACGGCTCCCTTAATCGCCCCCGCGGGGGAGCTGTCCTGTCAGCACCAGGGCCCCTGAGGCAGCGCCTGGGGCGGCGGGGCAGGCGAGGACCACAGACCTGGGGGAGCCGCCCCCTCCCCTCCCCCCGGGACTTTGAGTCACTTCTCCAAAGTCACAGAGCAAGCCGCAGACCTGGGGTTTGAACGCGGCTCTTCCCGACTCGGAAGCCTTTGCCCTTTCCTCCCCCACGTTCTGCCCTGTTGGCTTCCTGGCCCTGCCACCAGTGGACACTGGGCGACGTCCTGTCCGCCGGCATGGATGGTGTGCCTCCTGTTGGTGCCCTGTCTCTGGTCCCAGCCTGGCGGGCGCTGATCCTCTGCTCTGCTGGAGGCTCCCGGGGACCAGGCGGCTCAGTCTCCGTCCCTGGGCACCTTTGTCCTTGTGGTCGTGATGACGACACTTGGTGGGCCCTTACCAGGTGCCAGGCACTGTCCTAAGCGCCATACGTTTATAACTAACTTAATCCTCAGAGTGGCTCCAAGAGGCAGGTCTTCATCTCAGCCTCATTTCACGGATGAGGAAACAGAGGTTGTGGAGTACGCCTGAGGTCACGCTGTCAGCGAACCAAGTTTCCCACTCAGCACTACACTCTGCACCCACGACCCCACCCAGGGCCTCTTGGAAGAGCGGGGTTTGTGTGTTGGAGTGCGGATGGGCCCGGGGGCTGGGGGGCGTTCAGTCATCATGTCCACTGCTTCCCAGACCTGAACCCCCCCCCAACTCGCTGCTGCCTCCTCCTGAGTCCTCCCAGGTCCTGCCTCGTCTGCAGACTGACAGGCACAGCAGTAGTAGTACCTGCAGATCCCAAACTCCTAATTTACCCCCTCCCCCGCCCCTGGGAACCATAAGTCTGTTTTCTGTATCTGTGAGCCTGTCTCTGTTTTGTGAATATGTTCATTTGCGTACTTTTTACTTTTTAGATTCCACATATGAGTGATATCATATGGTATTTTTCTTTCTCTATCTGACTGATTTCACTTAGTATTATGATTTCTAGGTCCAGCCATGTCACTGCAAATGGCATTATTTTGTTCTTTTTTATGGCTGAGTAGTATGCCATTGTATAAATGTACCACAGCTTCTTTATCCAGGCATCTGTTGATGGACATTTAGGTTGCTTCCATGTCTTGGCTACTTTATATAGTGCTTCTGTGAACACTGGGGTGCAGGTGTCTTTCTGAATTAGAGTTTTCTCTGGACATATGCCCAGGAGAGGGACTGCTGGATCGCAGGGTAAGTCTATTTTCAGTTTCTTAGGGAATCCCCATACTGCCCTCAGCAGCAGACGCATTCCTGGGGCACGTGCTGCCTGTGTGTGGCTGTGGCTGCACGTGCATCGGGCAGGGTGGCTGGGGTGTCTGTCCCTGGGCCTCGGAGCCCTACCCACCTGCCTCTGATTCCCACGGTGCTCCCGCTGCAGCCTTGCCGGTCCTGGGGCAGCTCACTCAGCCTCCTCAGCCTCCCTGTCCTTTCCTTGTTGTGAGGATGATACAGCCTGCCTGATGCGAGGTTGCTGTGAGGATTAGAACCAGTGTCCCAGTGAAAGGGAGATACTGTTACTCCCTGTGGGACAGAGGGGTCTGTCTGTTTCCTTTGACATCCTTTTAAAGACACTGAGCACCTGTGAGCTCTCTCTCTGAAGGCAAACTGGGAAGCTCCTTTCCTGCCAGGCTGAAACCACTCCCTGTGCTTGGGGAGCCCTCCCCCCTCACAGGTGGTCTGACTCCCCCAGGCTCCCACCTGGGACAGTGGTTGCCCCCACCTCCCCTGCACCTGCTGCTCCGGGTCCAGGTGACGGCGGGGCAGAGGGAGAGCATGGCTGCTGTGACCACCCACAGGACGGTTTAAATCCTCTCCCAGCGAGCTTTTGAAAACCTGAGGGAAAGATGGAGGAAAAGCCTCAACTGCCTCTGCTCCATCAGCGAGAGAGGGCGAGGTGGGCCCCTCGGCCTCAGGGCACTCCGGCTGGACACCCAGCCAGGCCCAGATCAACACCCGGGGCCCTGAGATGCGGGCCCAGGAGAGTCTCAGTAGGGGAGCTGGGGATGCACTGAAGACAATGTGGGTGAGTTGGGCTCCTGGAAGGTCCTGGGCAGAACCACCTGGTGGGCAGGGTGGGGCAGGGCCCAGGAGAGATGCAGGCAGAGCAAGTTGCGGTTCTGGGTCCTCTCACAGACATAGCTCCCAGAGTGGGGGTCTGGGACACTGCATGGCTTTGTCCCCACCCGGGGGCTTGATGGGGAGAGGCAGGACTGGACCTGGGGATGCTGACATCGCAGAGCTGTGGCTGCAGCCAGTCAGGGATCGGGGGCTTCTTGTGGGCAGTTAGCTGGTTAGCTCAGCCAGTCAGGGCGTGGCCCAGCCCTGTGCCGGAGGCCAAGGTCAGCAGCTCAGGGCCACATGACCTGTGAGCAAGTCCGCACTTGGGCCTAGGGTCCTGCACAGCATCGTCAGAGACGCGTGGAGCTGATCGCTGGCGGGGTGGGTGGAGGGCAGGGGTGGCGTGGTAAAGCTGCCCTCCCCTCTGCAGGGAAGGTTCTGCTGCAGGTCCCGAGGCCTGGGTGAGGTTCGGTGTTCTTGTCTTGTTTTGGAGACGCTCCATTTCTCCACCCGACTGCAGTTTATAGATTTCATATCACTCCCATTTTGCAGACAGAGCCAAAAATCTACCCAAATTCTCACAGCCATGGGCAGTCCCTGCTTGGCACCCTCCGAGTCCCTTGATGGAAGACTTCCCAGGCCCTCCTGCCCGGCTGTCCTTGGTGTGCTGGGCTGGGGACATGGCAAGCAGAGGGCCACTCAGACTGTCGTTTCAGGCTGTGGCTCGTGGGTGGTCGGGGTGCACGAGCAGACGGGGAGGAGGTGGGGTCAGGCGAGCCCCAGATGTGCCCGTGGATCCGGGGGATGGCTGACTGGAGGGGTGGAGGAGCTGCCTTGGCTGTGATCGCACAGGCTGCTCGGTCCTTCTCTGCTGGAGGACGTGGGCGTGCTCCTGCTCGTCCACTGCTGGGATCAGGTCATCGACGTGTGGCGTGGAGGAAGGGGGAGGGGTCCGGGCATTTCTGTTTCTCGTGGAAGTTACTTCATCTGTCAGTACAGCAGCCTTGAGTCCCACAGTCATTTCAAGCTGTGGTTCCATAAACCCATCGACGCTCAAAGGTCTACGCCGGCTTCTTACATCTGAGCTGTAACCACCCGGACCACAGGGTCAGAAGTCGGGGAGGGGTCGGCACCAGCCATCAACAACCCCGTGCTGTTGCCGACAGCTCTCTGCTCAGTAGGAAGGGCACGTCCCCGTGGTCCTGGGTGACCGGCCGTGCTCTGGTGGCCTTTCCTCTGTGCCGATGTCCTCCGCCTCCGTCTCCACCCAAGGCTGGTTTGCCCTCAGGAGCCACCGTGAGCGTCTTCCTCGTGTAAATGTTTGCCTGCGTCTGAGAGCACTCCCCAAGGACAGCTTCTCCTGGGGCCCCGCTCTCATACCAAGACTGGCAAAGATCATTTTCTAAGAGAGTAAATTTGAGAGCAACAAATGAAACTTACTTAATTTGCGTCTCTTCAGTTTTCATGACGCTCTTTGTTTTTGTTACGGTTTGGCCGATTTTATTTATGATTTTGTGGATTCTTGTTCAGCCCTGGGGCCTCTCTTTCTGGGGGTATGAGCTTTTTCTCTCCGTGGTGGAGCTCCCTGTACGCGATGGTGTCAGTTCCTTGCCTCTCATGTATGGTGCGAGTATGTTTGCAGTTTATTGATGGTCTGAACCTTTGGAAAGGGCCTTTTTGTCCACGCAGGGATTTTAATCTTTATGCCCTCAAACCCATCAGGTTCCCTTTAAGACTCCTGCCTTCGATGTGGTGTTTATAGAGGCCTTTCCCACAACAAAGTCACGGAGACGCCCTTGCATGTGTCCTGCGAGCTCTTCGGGGGCTGGCTCTCCACACTGAGCTCTTTCTTCCCTCGGGAGTTCGTTGCGTGCATCCTTGTAGCTGGCTTCAAATTCCCTCTGAAATGAAAGCGATTAATAGATTAACGAATTCATTAATTAACGTGGCAGGGAGGGGAAGCTGGTCAAGGAGGAGAGGTTGATACAGGAGGAAGATGGGATAATTCATGGGTCTGGGTCCAGAGAGAGGGACTGGGGGCAGGTGGCAGGGGGCATGTAGAGGGGTCTCCCTTTATCTCATGGAGGGGACATGCATCTCTGACACTAGAGGAGGGGATGGAGGGGCCAGTTTTGCCAGGTCAGGAGCTGGGTAAGAATGGGCTGGAAAGACTGCTAGCCGAGTGCCCCAGTCGCCAGTGCCTGGGGGAGTGGGAGCAGTGGTGCGGGCAGGGGAGATGGCACTGGTGACAGAGGCTGGGATGGGCTAGGTAGTGGGATCCTGGCCAAGGGGAAGGGGGGGTTCACGTTTATAATTTGTAATCGTGATGGGCTGGTGGGTCTGGAAGGTTCCACCCCCCTGGGGAGGTGTCCTGGGGAGAGCTGGGTGTCAGTTAAATGGACAAGTGGCAGGTGCAGGCTGACGGCATAGGGAGTTGGTTCACCATGGGCAGAACATTCTAGACTCAGGTACAAAGAATGATCCGAGAGGGAGGGGCTGGGAGAATGGGAGTCTGCCCCTATCAGTGGGCAGGAGCGGAGTCGAGGAGGGTTCAACGACCCCATCATACAGCGAGCTGCAATTCAGGGAGCATTTGCACATATGTGTTTGCACATGAGCCTCAAACAGCCTTTCAGAGCAAGAGGGGAAGGGGTTTGCCTGGAACTGGGCAGGCAGCCCAGGACCGAGCCAGAAGTGAGCTCAGGAGTCCCAGAGCCTTGTCCTGCCGCCCCACACGGTCTTCATAGGCTCGGGGACAGCACCTGACCATCCACTCTCCTCTCCCTGCAGTGCTCTAGTCCCCGCCGGCCTCGCTGACCGTGGACGGGATGGCCAGTGTGAACTCTGCCAGCCGCACCCACTACGCCTCCTCCATCCCCGTGCCTCGCGCTGCTTCCCAGACCAGGATGCAGACACCGGCTGTATCTCCCCGGCTGCGGCCACGCCAGGCCGGCCTGGCCCTGAGCCCCCAGCGGGCGGCCTCCCCAAGACTGGGCAAGGCTGGAGGCCCTTCCAGAGGCTCATCTCCTAAGGCATCCCGGGGGAGAGGCTCCCCCAAGGCTCCTGGGGCTGCCAGGGAGTCAGCCGAGGTTGCTGAGAGCCACGCTGGCTCCCCATGGAGCAGTCCCAGGACGGCCCCCAAAGCAGTCCTCTCTAGCCGGACTGGGTCCAGAAGAGCTGGGGAGACACAGGGTGCCCAGGGAAGGAAGAAGGTGGCCCCGGAAGGGGTTCCGGCTCACCAGACTCGGGGCAGGAGCCCCTTCCGGACCAGTTCTCATGGAGAAACTCAGATACCAGGGGCTCCATCTAACTACCCAGGAAAAGATCAAAGAGATCTGACCTACAGAAGCTCCGGGGGCCCCAGGTCGTTGGAACCTGACACCAGGGCAGCTTCCGGGCCGTCCTCTCCAGTCTGCAGCCCTGTGCACAGCCCCCGCCCAGCCCCCGCCCTAGGGCCCATCAGCTTCTCCTCCGCCCATCAGCAGAGCCAGCCGGTCACAGCCACGGTGGCCCCCTTCCAGTACAGGTGAGCAGCGGGGGCAGGCGGAAGGAGGAGCGAGGAATGGAGCTGGGACGCAGGGGCCCACGGAGGGAAGGGGGCTGGTGGAGCAAACAGAAGGTGGGTGGGGCAGGGCATGGAGAACAGGGCAGGATTGAGGCCAGAACAAGGGGACCCTGATTCAACTCTGGGGACACCACAAGACACAGAGGCTGGCAAGGAGGGTGCCCCCGGTGGGTCCATCTCTCCTGCTCTCAGAGACAGTGCACTAGGTACCACGGATGAAGAGGTAGCTAGGTACATGGGTAGGCTGGTCGGTCGGTTGTACCCACCTCACCCAGGACAGCCGCCACCACCGTGAGTCGGACTGAGTACGTCTTCACGTCTGTGCCTTCAGTTCCTGCTGCCTGAAGTCCTAAGGGGCCTCCACGGGGCTCCCAGGGCTCCCTCGTGTCCGCCTGTGTGTCCTCTCTCTCCACCCACCCTCCTGCCCCGGGCACATCTGTTTACCTGCCTAGTGTCCCAAAAGTGAGCCACCAGGCTTCTTCTGTGGCCACACTGGGCTGGGCCACCTCCTACCAACACCGCGAACAAGCTGGTGTGCCCAGCCTTCAGATGCGGCAAGTCGAGAGCACAGAAAAACGCCTGCATCAACTGCTTTCTCAATAAAAATGTAACTCTTTCCTAAAACGGCCACAGTGAGTAAACAGCCTTCTAATTACTAAGTACGACATGGTTTGGAGATGCCCAGATGCAAATTCGGTGCCTTCCTGACCAGCCTAACTTCCTGGGTTTGTGCTCTGTCTGGGTTCGAGGGCCCACTCACTCTGGATTTGGGAGGAGCTCCCTGGACACGGAGAGTCTCGGGGGCGTTGTTGCAGCGTCTGGGCTGGGGTGGAGTCTGCTGGGAGCTGCAACTCTTCACTGGAAGCCAAGAGTGCGACTTGACCCCTGAGATGTCTGCAGCTGTCTTAGCCACAGTGACAGAAGGCTGGGCCCTGACGAGGGAGGGGAGAGCTCCCTGTCCTCTGCCCGTCTGGCCTCCTTCAGAGGGTTACACTCAGTTACCAGCTCCACATTTTAAAAGGACCCTGGTGCACGAAAACACATCTAGAGAAAGGCTGACAGTTTGGGGAGGGAGCCAAAAAGGTGTTAGAGGAATGATTAAAGGAGCCGGAGCAGTTTGCTCTGGAAAAGGAAGGCTGAGAGAGGGTCTGAGAGCTGTTCTGAAATGTGCAGCTCCGGAGCACGAGTCAGCGTCGTGGTGGTTGGACGTCAGGGGAGATCTGAAGCTCAGGAGGAAGAACTTCCCAGCAAGCAGAGGGGTTTACAAGGCACCCACGGCCGTGGGCTTCCCGTCACTGCGGACCCCAGCCGGCTCCTCCCCCAGCGGAATCCTCCCCCCAACCCCCGCCTCTCATGGTGTCTCTCCCAACGGCGCCCTGCACACCCAGCGCCCGTTCCCGAGAAGCCGCTCACGTCTTCCCCGTGACCTTCTCCACTCTGACTCCCAAGCTGATGGGAGAACCCGAGGAGGCAGAAATGCAGGGCAGCCCTTCCAGGGAGCGGCCCTTTTCCAGCCGGAGCCCTGTCTCCCTGCGGACTCCGGGACTGGCTTCCCCTGCCTGAGCGCCTTCATTTTGAATTCCTTCTCAGAGGAAAAGTGTCCAGGAGTTACACTGTTTCAGACCCTACGTCATCTACCCTCCAAGCCTCCTGGCAGATTTCGATTCTGACATTTTCCAAAGAGGTCAGGACTTTTTCCTGTGAACGATTCAATGCAGCCTCCGCTCAGCAAACATCAGCTGTCTGTTTGCATTTTAAATGGAGAAGTGTCACACCATCCCACCTCCTAGACCCTGCCTGTCCCAGGCCCTGGGTCAGGGTTGCAGGAGGGTCATGGTTCGGGCAGGGCAACACTGGGACCAAGGACACCCCCCCACAGCACTGTGGGCAGTGGGCAGGGTGCAAACCCCCACACCCTGCAGAGCCTGGAGCTACTGCCTTGGGCAACTCAGCCAAGCGCGGGGCTGGGCCGTCCTTGCAGGAAGGTGCCATCTGCTCCCTGGAGCTCACGGACCCTGTTTTCATGGGACTCTACCCCCTCCACCCCGTACCTTGGCCTCCTCTGCAAAGCTCCAGCCCATCACACAAGCCAAGGTTCCAGTCTCCCCTCCCTGCCTCCAGGTGGCTCCTGGCTGACCTGCTTCTTCAGGGAATGAAGCCATGGCGGTCATCCCCTGCCCTGCCGCCACAGCCAGCTCCTCCATCCTTCCCCAGGACCCAGGGACAGCCTCCCTCTGGACACCCCTGTCCCCAGGACCAGAGACGGTCTGCTCCGGACCCTCTGGCCTCAGACATCTGGCTCCTTCAGCTCCCGAACTCACTCGCCCCTGCCCTCCTGGAGAAGGGCCCCGGAGGTGGTTTCTTCCCGGGCAGGTCTCCCCTCCCCCCGCCGCGGGCCTTTGGTCAGACTTCGGTTAGGAGGGTGCGGTTAAGGGCGGCGGGAGTGTCCG